AAAGTTAGATTTGTTAGTAAGAGAACTAAGGACAATCAAAGTAGTATATAGTATATCTCTCATTATAAAAAATATTAGAAAAGAAAAATGAAGAATTACGCTTATTTAAACCCCTCAAATTTCTCATGATTCCTACTTGAGCCTCTGTTTAGCGTAAATTATTTAAGGGAAATTACCCTAAATGAGACAAAAAAACTCCGAAATAGAATTATCATGTTTGTATTCCCAAAATAGGACTAACTACTGATATGTTTCGGCAATACATACTTTAAACATGACACTATTTTCCAAACTTGACAACAATTACTCATATTTTGGGAATAAAAACAATGTAGTCGTATTTTGAAATGTTTAAATTTTTTACTCCAGTTTTGTACCCGAGCGTTGCCCCGGGTGCAACTACCATATGAAATATTTAGTTTATAATTTTGTGCATATGTGAAATATATATTTCGTATGAATTTTTTAAATCACATTGATAAAAGCATTGAAATACGTATTAATTCAAAATAATATTATATAATATATAAGAATAAAGATGTTGGGATCCGTAAGACATTATAAATTTGAAAGACTATGCTTCTAAATTCTGGATAACCTTTATATAGATAATATTTATGACATTAGAGGAAAATCCCTGATCTTTAGATCGAATCCAAATCTTCAATCCTTCTTTGCTCTTGACTGTTGATATGGCAGCATATAATTGACCGAGTGTGAACACATTTTTTCCCAAGATATAGCCTGACATGCATATTTACTGAGATTGGCTCTTGTTGATGCTCATTGCAAAGCATACCATAACTGAGAATTGCTTCATCTGAAAATTAAAAGGCAATGTTACATCAGATGGAGATAACGACGTACAATCTGGGAATGTGAACAGTACGTGGCCCTCATATTTCTTCCAGTGATGATCTTTGCCTCTAGCACATTTTTCTGAGCTTGGTGAGAATGATCAACCTGGTTCCATTACAAAATCCTGCTGGCTGGTCTATATTTCTCATGAGCATAATGGGAGCACCAATCTTTAGATGCAATTCGTGACCAGACAACCTCGAGATTGAGATACTATCAAGAAATTCTAGTGTATACACGTCACTCTCACGACACAAACCGATATGTGAACTAATGATGCTATCTGAGATGAGTTACATGATTTGATCACCGGGGATCAAAGATAGCATGTAGTCATTTATTTGGAGAACCACGTAAAAAAGTTCAAGTATCGCTCTTTCCATCAAGTAAGTTGGATTGCTGGGGCGTTCTTGCTGGTTACAATAAATGCTATTAACGATAGCTGATAGGTAGTTATCTTCCGGCTTGATTAGAAACTCATTCAGGATTTACACCTCTGTTTACCGTTATGCAGTGTTCCTTCTGTAATACTCTGGATATCCATCTTCATCAGTGGAGGTTGTGGGCCTGAAACACCTTGGGTAATGTTTAGAACACACCATATATCATCCAAGGTGATCTTTGTTGAAATCTCTGCAAGGACCGTGTATCATTGAACTTTTTATTGCGTCATGCAACTCTGCATCTTGGAGAGGATCTGGAGTTCAGCTGAGATGACCTTATGAATGTCATCAACGCCTCTCAACATGTATGCAGAGCGTATAAAAAGGATGATGTGGGCACATAGTGTAAATAACTGCATAACCAATGAAGTAAATTTATATGTGATTATATTTACATTTATTTAAAACCAAGACGTTTGAGCTTGATCTTAATCATTGGAGAGAACTTAAGCACTTGAGGTTCTCCAAATAGTTTTCTATATTTGAGTTCTTCTATGAGACGTTTGAACTTGATGTTAATGATTCTCGCAATGATATCGGGATTGTCTTTAGATTTATAGTTTCCATCCTGAAGACACTTATCTACTTGTGGCCAGTTTGGGTTAGACGTGAAAGTTATAAAAATGTTTGGGTTACCACACTTGCGAACAATGACTACCACGTGCATCCTGATGCATGGTTTTGAATCATGTACCTTGCTTCACCGGTAAACGAAGATGGTAGTATTATTCTTTTGACTTGGGCATGTGGGTTTGTTTCTCCACTTACAACTACATCTACCGGACCTTTGTATATATCATATCTCAGTTTCACCTGATTGTTTCTTAGAAATGAGAGTCTTTCCGGTTCAATCATTGTATAAGCATCAACAATGAACTGCTAAAGAAGTATCCTTGATTTAAATATTGTATTGTACTCACAGTCTCGCAGTCCCTTGATTGAAGCTTATATGCAAAGAACTCACGCATGCTTAATTGTTCCAATTAGATATAAAATAGTTTTTCTCCTACAATTTTACATCATTTAAAAAATACAGTTTTATTAGTCCGCTTATATAGTATACTGAAAAACACTACGTATGACAGAGAAAATTATCCCGCCGCTCAATTATTATTGCATTTATCTTCTTTTATCTCATCTTATCTTATACCTATATAAAAACACTCCGTATGAGAGAGAAAATTCTCCCGCACATTTATTAGTTCACATATCTTACACAGAGTACCAAACAACGCTACATATGAGAAAGAAAAGTCTCCCGCTCAATTGTTTGTTGTTACTAACCATATTGAAGTTGAAATCTACCTTTTTGAACTATATTATACTAATAATTAGATAATAAAGAAATATAATGTTGTAAAGATAGAGTTGCTTCATGGTCCCATTCTCAATTGAAATTTATGATGTACATGATTGTGGATAACCAATTAAATATGTGTTTGAACATTGTATATAGCTAAGTCTATAATTATGTGCTACATTCTTTAATAGTAGCGATTACTGGACTTACTAATTAGAAAAACCTATATGATTGTAAACCTACCATTTCTAGGAGCCTGTAAATATGGCCCTAGAGAATGGATAGGTAAGTTTTCCACTCACTCACATAGAATATTATAGTCGTAGGATTTATTGCTCTGGAGAGGTTTTACCTAAGTTCATCTTCTTCATCTTTATGTAAAAATCTTCTTCATCAATGGGAAACTCCAACCTTCATATTATATTTCAGTCTAGAAAAACAGGGACCAACAATAACAATTGTATTTTTGGTCCTGTAGCTTCAAAATTCGATCAATGTAGAATTTTCATACTCCAAATGTATTTGCGAGAATTTAAGATCAGAGTACGTTGTAACATATTTTCTAGTCTTTTTTTATGACAATATTTCTTAAAATCTTTTCTCCAAATTAAACTTATGAGCTTTGGATACTTATTTATAACTTACAGTGATATATCAAACGCTTATTTATGAGCTTAAAACTTATCATAATATCAAACACTTATACATAATTTATTCCTTACTATCAAAGGAGGATGGTTTGGGGTTTCTCAATATCATTTTTGGATGTCAAATTGTTACTCAAACATTACAGTATATATATTTAATGCGTTTATTAAATAATGTGAAAATTCTCGAAATAGGAGTAACAAAATTTAAAATTTTCAAAATAGGACTAACATATTTTTATTCCCAAAATAGGAGTAATTGCTGTCAAGTTTGGAAAATAATATCATGTTTAAAGTAAGGTATTGCTGTAACATAGCCGTAATCAGTCCTATTTTGGGAATAAAAACATGATAGTCCTATTTTGGAATTGAAAAACGTTTTTTAATTTGTCTCAATTAGGGTAATTTCCCTTAAATAATTTACGCTAAACATTGGGTAGCAGAGGCTCAAGTAGGAATCATGATAAATTTGAGGGGTTTAAATCAGCGTAATTATTCATTTTTCTTTTTCTAATACTTTTTATAATGAGAGGTAAACTATATACTACTTTGATTTTCCTTAGTTTTGTTACTAACAAATCTAACTTTTCCAATTAACTTTTATCAACTCTATCACTTAACATTATATATTAGTGGTTATTTAGTTTATAATCCATATTTAATATAATTATCATTTATTTTTTCATGAGAAACCTGAGGGCTTTAAATAAGACTAATTATTAATTTTCCTTTTCTAATATTTTATAAAAAGAAGTATACTATATAATCCTTTGATAATATTAAAATCTATGTAAAGATGGTGGTAGAATATTAAAATACTATACACGATTGATTTCTCTAATAAAATATTAAAAAGGGAGGAAGAAGATGAACAATTAGTTCTGGCTTTAAATGAAGCAATATCTAAAATTCATACGGAGTAATATGGAGAAAAAGGTTACTGTAAAATTAAACCAAGCGGCTAATTTCTTTTTCTTTCGTGAGATAGACAAACGGTCAACGAAGCAAAAGATCAAATATTGTGATGGATTATATTAGAAATAGTACAAATATTGTGAAGTGGCAATTTATCAAACATTGATTGCTTAAAAATGGTAATATACCGAAACTTTAGGATGTTTTTACTTGGACTGTAATTTGCTGGTCTAGTCTGGTCAGATCTGAAATGGTCTGGTCTGATTTCTCTGTATTCTTATAACTATTCAAGTTTGGTCTGATTTGATCTGGTATGGTCTGACCTGGTCTGGTCTGCGACAGATTACAATCCAAGTAAAAATCAAATTTAAAATCGAAAAGTTTATATAAATAATTAATACTAATAACTAAAACAAATAATTCATTTAATTGATCAAATGTAAAAAAATACTTAAATGACACTCAAAAGTTTGTATAAGCAGTACGTTTTTATATATGCAACATTAATAATTTAATATGATAATTAAGTGTGTGTTCCATGTTTATCTCTTAAAAAAATCAATAAAGGTATTTCCAATGTTTATCTCATAGGTAAACCGTTTATCTAAAAATCAGCTAAGCCATTTGTTAACAATCTATTATTTGAATATGTCCCTCACTTCAATCTAAATTATAAACAATTATGGGCAAAATCTAAAAATTATCAATTCTAATAATTGTACTCAATTGCAATTTAAGTAGAAATCAATTTCAATTGAGATGACTCTACTTTATTAGTACTAAAGTAGATTGGAGGTATTTTTATTATCATAAACTTTCTAATGTTTTTGTTAACAAGTTTTTACTTGGCGACATGCATTCATGGAGCCTTGACTTTTGAGCCCCTCGCTGTTGCACATCACCAAAGCTTCTGAACCACTATTTTATCCGGAGTAGCTTCTTCGATTCTTCTTCCATTTTCTTCCGCCGAATTCATCTTTGAAGTTGTTGCTTCTTCATCTCATTGTTCCAAGCTGAATGTGTTGAGAAAAATTCCAGAACACGGTCTCTCAAATATGAAACTCCTGCTAATTCACTTCCTGTAACTTGCCGATTTGTCATCCTAATTTAACTAAAGTTTGCTTAAAGCTAGCTCAATTTGGGGAATGTCCCGCAAATTCCTGCATTTTCCAGCTCCCGAGGCATTAGGAGCAGTTGCCCTTCCGTAAGGCAGGGGCGGATCACTACTACCAGAACGGATGTTTAGAAGCAGTAATGTCACTTCCAGGATTTTTGAGCGCCAGATTTCCACTCCTGCTCCAGGAACGAGCGTAAGTTTCCCGTCTTCTGCTCCTAGTTGGCGAAGTTGTTTTTATGATCAAACTCACTTGAAAAATCAACACATGCGAGTTCCGTTCAATTTCTCCAGGCTGAAAAAATAATAATTTGATACTTGCAGATTCATCGTGCCAGGCGATTTTACGAGAACATAGTTCCAAGTTATACAGTATATGATGTTGAGTGCCCCGACCACTCTTTCCGCAAGTTCACTGAAGACGGTCTGTATCTCATCGGCTTCAGCCGAGATCTTCAAGATCTGATCGTTTATAGGCCAACATGGCTGTCGTTTTCATGCAATGAAGTAGACAGTGATGGTGACGAGCTTCCACCTAAAGCCAAAAAGTTTGAGAGCTTCTTCACCCAGCTATATAGTGTTACGCTTGCTTCTAGTGGAGAGGTTATATGCAAAGATTTTTTCCTCTACGTAGAGAATAACCAATTTGGCCTGTTTGCGACTTCAACTGCAACTGCACAAGTTCAGGATGCACCTGCTGTCCGTGGAGCAGTCAATGGGATCCCTTTCATTGAAAAAATTACTTTTTACCTTTTGAGGTGCACAATTCTCACCCAGCCCCACGGTCTGTATTGATTATTACTTGGTTTCTGGTTCATTTTAGTTTATCTCATACCTTGGTCTCATTCATTAGATTGGACAATGGAGCTATACTTGAGGAGAGAGTTTTCTCCAATGATTACATCAATCTGGCACATAATATTGGTGTTTACCTGTATGATAACATGTTAGCTATATTGTCCCTTCGATACCAAAGGATACACATTCTTCAGATAAGGGATTCTGGAGACCTTGTAGATGTTAGATGTATTGGAGAATTTTGCCATGAAGATGATGAACTATTTATCAATTCTTCCCAGGTAAAAAGACTCCCAAGTCTCAACGTGACCTTTCTAGTCATTTTCCTTGATATTTACTGTAACAGCAGGCATACCATTAGAACCATAAAATGATATGCATTTTCCTTGCTAAATCCAACAAATAGTTTGAAGACATTGAAGGAAGAAGAGGAGCAGTCTGTCCTAGGCGTACATGAACGACATCTAGGAAATGCTGGATATGCTCACACAAAATCCGTCATCACCATCACTGCTACTTCTCCTTAATCCAACTAGGTTTAGGTCAGTGGCATGAACTTCAGTGTCCATTAGTCTAAAAATTAGTTAATGGCTTCACGCTATAAGTTCATGCTGAAAAACACAAAAGTGTTTTACGCCATATCTCCTTCCTGTCACAAAATTTAGAGAAGGAATTCCAAATTCATCACCATTATACGTTTCCATTCTGTAAAAAATATCACGACACAGATGCATAATGGTGAAAGTATGGAAAGTTATTTAAATCTCGGAGAATTTGAAGGACAGCACCCAATCGATCTTTCCTTTTGATAGAATTTGCATCTCCCTCTCTCTGCTGACACCATAAGTTTCTTCTTCTGGGATCTGACCCTCCCCAATTCCGCACACACCAACATTACATGTTTCATTATTTTCCCTAAGAGGCATAGTAATTCACAATGGAACGTGTTTTTTTGATAACCTTTAGTATTTCCCCTTCTCTTTTAGCATTTAAATTTTGTTATTTAAACATTTGCAAGCTAGGTGCTCAATTCTACATCCCACTAACTACTTGGATGGGCTCAATGGAGTTCTGGTGCATTAGGTCCATTTTGGATCTCGCGCCTGAAATTTTAAAAAGTCGACTCTTCTACCATCTAAAAGTTACTAACCTTACCTGTTGAGTATTTTTGAACGGTAAGATCTTGCAACCTATGGCATCTTAACTCTTCTCCTGTCTGCTAGATTCGTCTAGATTCTTTGATCTCTTGGGTCAGGTTGGAACACCTAGGTTTTCATTGCACTATAATCCCTAAAATTGTACCAGGTTATTGTTAACCACAGTGGTGGAGCTCCTAATCATAGCGAGCTTATTCAAGAAACTTCTTTCCTTGGTGTCCTTAAACAAAGGTTGCTCTCCTTTATATTTCGAGGGATTTGGAATGAAGAATCTGATCAAGCCACGGTAAGTTATGGTCATGCTTTATCCAGGTTACACACATGGCATTTGGATATTTTCACTCTTTTATAGTGTTGTACTGTATGAATGTGAAAACTAGATTAAAAATCCTGGTCACTTTGGAATACATTGAACTATCTAATAATCTATTGTATTTAATTTCCACGCATGATCTTTGGACATGATATAAGATCTTTAAGATAGACAATCTTTCATGTCCAGCCGCCCTGACGGGAACCACCGTCCGGCCGAGGGCATTTCAGGACCTTCCCGGTGGAATTTTTTGATGAAATTTATTGAGCATGTTCTTCATCAAGTCTAGTTTACCCATACCAAATTTGAGATAAAAATTCAATCAGAAAGGCAGTCAAATATTTTTTTTGAAAAATACTGCGCTGTTTTTATATATGAACTGTGCAGTGTTCTTAAATAATTTATTTGACTGTCTTCCCGATTGAATTTTTAGCTGAAATTTGGTATGGGTAAACTAGACTAGATGAAGCACACGCTAAAAAAATTTCATCAAAAAATTCCACCTGGAAGGTCCCGAAATGCCCTCGGCCGGACGGCGGTTCCCGTCAGGCCGGCTGGTTTGTAAGTCCTTGTGATACTGGAACACATTGATCAATCTACTGTATTTATTTAAGAGAAAATTCCCTAAATAGGAATAAAACATACTTCGTCCTTTATTTGAACTTTGTGTATGTTTTGGTCCTATATTGAGCAATTACTATCAATTGGATAATTCATCTATCAAGTTTTAAGTGTACTCTGGGAATGGAGCATTGATTGAGTTATTTAGTGGGTTCATTTTATGTGTTGATGTTTGGTGTACTGTGGGAATGCAGTTCTTGTTTATGTTTGTAATTATATATTCATAGTTGTCAATGGCGCAATAGGGCGCGTGCCACATGGCGATACAAAGCCCCCTCGCCACAAAAAGCCCTCCTGGCAATGATTCTACACATAAAGCCCCCGCGCCATTTTGGCACCATCGCCATGTGCGCCATTTTTTAAAACAGATTTTAACATGTTTACTAAGTTACTAAGAATCTTTTCCAGATTTTAACATGTTTACTAAGTTACTTTTTGGAGATAGTGCGATATGGTGAACTCTGAATTTTATGAACTTTAGTTTGATAAAGGAAATCAAAGCATTCACTTTAGAGAGTTATCATTTTATGAATCATTTTGGTTCTTTCAACTATTTAATGATAAAACTAAAACTAAGTCAACGTAACATGATATCATAATTCATAACATGCTCAGATGACATGATGTTGAACAAGTGAGTTTTTTTTTTTCATTTCTTATAATACATATAATGCGAATACGTGATTTTACGATTTGCTATACATAAACGTCTGAGGTTCATATTGCTGAGGCTACTTCATCTTTCTACATCAGAGAATGCTGAACCTTAAGAAGAAGTTCTACCTCCATTTTCAAGATTATGTTGATTTAATAATTTGGAAGGTATTCCTTGGAATCTACTATGCATTTAGTTCTTCATTGACTTTTACTCAATGCCTATTGGTGTGCACCCCTAACTAATCCATTCCAATTTGTTGTTAACATCCTTTTTGCAATTTTGGTATGCAGGTGCAGTTTTTGGACAGATATCATTTATTAATAAAGTTTGGCAGTGTCGATGGTGGGGTGAGATATACTTTCCTCTTTTCATGCCACACTTATTTTTTTCACATTTGTCTCCAGGCATTCCATGATTCCTTTCTTTTAGGCAGATGTATTTCCCTTCGAATAAAATGACCTGGGGATTGGGCCTTTTGTTTTTAATATTAACAGAAGGTCCATGCTTAGCTAAAGATAGGAGTTGACACCATGCTTTGCATGTCTGAATATTTGCATATCATGTTTAGTTTCCGGAGTGTTTACTGTTTACCTCCATGATGGAATTTTCTTCAACGCATAAATGTTTGAAAATTTGTGCTGCAGATGTCAAGAAATGTCGATAACCATCCTTCATTTTTTGCTGTTTATAACATGGAGACTACTGAAATAGTTGCATTTTATCAGGTACCTTAATTGTGTGTGTGTTAATATTCCAATCTAAGTCTAGTTTGGCGACTTACTTCATTTGCTGAAATGACTGAATTGTATCTTTTTTTACATAAACTGAAGGAAGTAAAACATAAAAGTGAAGGGTAACATTGTCTTTACTCTTTACTTTTATTTCGGGAAAGCATTAACTTAGCTTCTGCATTATTTTCCTTATCAGCATATCCAACCAATGTAGTCGAAAAAGGGTGTTTTGTTAAAACAGTTTGCTGGTGACCAGTTTAGAAGCCCATGAAACAGGCACTGAGTATTCTTCCAAATTTGATTGAAATGATTCATGATTTTCACAGAATTCAGCTGACGAGCTGTATTTATTGTTTGAGCTCTTCTGTGACCACTTTCACGCATCATCTAGAAGTTCATTGCATATGAACTTCATATCTACTCATTCAAATAATGTACATGCTCTTGAGCAACTGAGGGGAATAAAAAATAAAGCCAGTAGCTTTTCTCAGGTAAATATCTTCAAAACTAAAAGTTCAGCTAAAATGCTGTCATTCTATTTTCTCCACTAAGGTATTCACATCATGAATTTCAAATTGCAGTTTGTCAAGAAAGTGCTGGCAACTATACCTTTCAGTTGTCAATCTCAGAGTCCATCACCCTACTTTGATCAATCTCTCTTTAGATATGATGAAAAGGTATGATTATATTTTTTACGGGCTAAGTTTGAGTTCTGCATTAATGATGTGTTTCTGACAGTAAGGACATGTTTGGATTAAGGGTTTTGGTAGGTTTTGGATGGAAACGCTTTCGAGGGTTTAGTATATATCTTGATAAAATAGAACCTTTCTGAAACGAATAAAGGGTTATTGAAATGTTGTGTTATCACAGATTCTGCTACTCTTACAAATCTTTTAAAACTATATCAAGATATTACTTGGCCCTCCAAGTTACCCCCAACCCAACTCCCAAACTGACCCTAAAATAGATGGGTCCACAATAGTGTGTCTACTTCAAAAAGCTTATGGAATTGCAAAACAGTATTTTTTATAACTAATCCTTTCACATTCCTGAAAAATATTTGGTGGACCATAACAAGTTGATAGCTGTTTCCATCCTATTCGCTAAATAGGCCATACCACATCTTAAGATCCCATTGCACTTCCCTTTACTTCCTAGTTCTTCTATGCTCCCCATATCATACCATACATATTTAGGGTCTTGGGTGCTCATTTCCGTGCTCTATGGTCTATATGCTATTAGGCCTAAATTTTGTTATTGATCTCTTGCTTCCTGGTGCAGCTTATCTCTGCAGCTGATCGACATAGACAATCCATTGACCATCCCATCAAATTCATTTCAAGGAGGCAGGCTAATATTCTCAAATTCAAAATTAAAGCAGGTGCAAACTACTTTCTTTGCAAGTGTTCTTGATTTTCTCCGACCCAACTATGGAGTATCGTGCTCATTTCCATTCTTTATGTTCTATATGAGTATATGGTATTAAGCCTAAAATTAATTTTCAGTGTTAACTTATGAACGCTTATTGTAATGTACAATGACTTGCCTTCATTATTAGGGCCTGAATCTGGCAATGGTGATGTGAGGACAAAGAAGATATCTTCATTTCTCTTCCATCCAATATTCCCCCTTGCAGTTTCAATTCAACATGCCATGTTTTTTCAGCCAGCAGTTGTAAATATCCATATACGACAGCCATGATTGGTAATAACGAATCACATTTGTATAATTGTTTGTTTTTCTTCATACTTTTTTTGCACGTGTGCTAAGAATTTTGACTGTATATGTTTATGGCAGACAATTTTGATATTTCTTGAAACATTATTCTTCCAAGGGCCTTGACCTGGGTTAGGCATGGTTGGTTTTGAAGGAATGTCACCTGGGTAACAAGGGAGCGTCAAGGAAACTGACAACTAGCTTCCACTAGTTTGCGTTCAAGATATTATTACGTGCAAAATGTGGCTTGCAAGTGTGTATTTTTATAATAACCTGCAAATATACCTTCTACACTTTATTTTAAACAGGAATAGTTCTTTATTTTTGTAAAATCTCAACTGTATATGACACCTCCAAATTGAACTGGAGACCCCGAATAACCAGGTTTTTAAAGTGATGTACTTTGGGGTTCATTTTTGGAACGGACTGACAAGGTGGCGAAGGCCATTTAGGGAGTGTTTGTGTTTACTTGTGCTTTTTAAAAGTGATTTATTTAAGTGATTACAGGAAAAGTGATTTGTAGTAAAAGTGGGTAGTGTTTGTAAAGAGAAGTGATTTTAATTAAAAGATATAAGTTGGAGTGTTTGATAAAAAAGTGATTGTGATATAACATTTGGATGAAAATACAAAAATGCCCTCAACCACATATAAATCATATGGTGCATATATTAGCAAGCCTCAAGAGTCTGCATACATCTTCCGATTTTGAATCTCCCATTGTTCAGACACATCGATTAATGTTGCAGGTCACATATATGTATGCCTATCGATGGTCAACAATGACAATTTTTGTTTCGTGTATGTATGTGTCGTCTCTTTTGCTTTAGTCCCTCTTAATTTACTTTCAAGATGTACTGGAGCATTAATCCTAATTAAATTACTTAAGCCATTTGTCCTTTATATATACTTCGTATATATGAAGACGTATTGGAGCTTTCAAGATGTACCACATCTTTGTGTGTGTGTGTAAAAGAGGTGTGACCATGGGGACGGGGTTGTGTTTGCCAAATTTCATCAACAAATTGGATTTGCCTGTGAAGATTGCATGGCCGCTGCAATACTTGAGACAAGAGTAAAGAACTTGTCTGTGGCTGCAAGATTTGGAGCGAGGAAGACGACGGAGAAGTAGGTTGGGAATTAAACGGATGAGAGAGGGGTAGAGTTGGACAAGGCTAGGTAAATTAGGTTAAAGATTACCCTCAAAAGTTGTTGATATTTACAAAAGAGCCTAGAAGCTATTAAAAGCAGCCTACACCCAGCTTCTACTTTTTAACTTAAAAATGCTTTTTTTAATTAGAAGTTGTCATTACCAAACACCTTTTACAGCTTTTTTTAATCTAAAAGCTCAAAAGTGCTTAAAATAAGCTTTAGCAAACACTGCTTTAGTTCGTCATCTTGGAATGTCCAAAAAGCCTATAATGATGAAATTGAAATTGCTGGAGCAGAAAAATGCAACATACGGATTACGGAGTATCCCCGACTCCCCGAGTCTCATGAAGTGATGAAACTGGCCACTTAAATTAGCTGGAAGAAATAAGGGGTGGGGGAAAATACCGAAACTTCGGTATACCGGACTTACCATATCGAAAAATACCGAATTTACCGAAATGTTAGGTATACCGACACTTTTGGTACGGTATGGTACTGTACCGAATTACTTCGGTATGGTATCGGTATATATATTGGAAATAAACGGTATACCGGTATACCGTCATACCGTAATTCCAAGGCAATATTTTTCTTAAACTTATAAAAATAACTAGAAACACAACACTAATTCAAGGATAAATCACTTTATATCCATGTTTCTTGAATTATTTATACTTTTTATTGGAGATCGATGTTATTTTAAATATATTTATGTTGTTTAAATTATTTTAGCTGAATGTGTTGTTATCTTCATATATCATGTGTTAAAATATCTATACATATTTATAATATTTTTTGTTCAAAGTTAAATAGAACACAAATAGGGTATCTCATTGATATTTTGTAATTAATTTCTTTTAGTATATCACTATTAACACTGATTTTATTTATTTCATTTGACATATAATAATTTGTTATATTAAATCATGATAATTTACCGTAACCGTACCTTATCATACCGAAATTTTGGTATACCGAAACAAGGTATACCGAAATTTCGGTATGGTAACGGTATGTATTTTTGCATACCGAAAGATTACGGTATGGTAAAGGTATGCGATAAAATATTCGGTATACCGTACCGAACCACCCCTAGGAAGAATTACTCTGTATTAGTGAAGCATGTTACGGCTGTAGCTGAATTGGTTGTGGACTTGTGGTAGTGGTGGACCGGTTCCGGGCCGGGCCCGGTTCGGGCCTTGAACCGGCCGGGCCTCGGTTCAAGGTAGGGGAGGCCCAGAACCGGCCCGGGTAACCCCGGGTCCGGTTCGGGCCGGGCCGGGCCCGGTTCTATATACTTTTTTTTGGGTTTTTCTAATCAACCTCCTACCCTCCCCCTCAACCCCAAACCATCCCAAACCACCTCAAATGGCCCAAAATAACCAATCCAACCCAAAAACTTAAAAAAAATTCAAAAAAAAAAAAAATTAAATCCGGCCCGGACCGGGCCCGAACGGGCTGGGCCGGTTCACCAAAATGAAGGCCCGGGCCCGGAACCGGTAGCCACCGGCCCGGGTCGACCTGAACTGCCCATGGGCTGGGCCGCCGGGCCGGGTCGGGCCGGTTCAAACAGTGACCGGGCTGGGCCGGGCCGGTTCCGGGTCGGGCCGCCCAGCCCGAGTCCATCCCTAACTTGTGGTTGGACTTTAGGCAGAAGCAGTCCTGGACTCGGGCCGGGTGGCCCGACCCGGAACCGGCCCGGGACTGGTACTGTGCTGAACCGGCCCGGTCCGGTGGCCTGGCCAGTGACCGGTCCGGGTAGGCCCGGCCTGAGGGGTTCCCGGTGCGGGCTCGGATCACCCAAAAGCCGAACCGGCCCGACCGGTTCGGGCCTGGTTCCGGGCTTTTTAATTTTTTTTTCAATTTTTTTTAACTTTTCGGGTTGGGCTGGGTATTTTGTGCCATTTGGGGTGGTTTGGGAGGTTGGGTGTGAGGGGGGGGGGGGTTAATTAGGAAAAGGAAAAAAAAAAACAAAAATTGACCTGAGGCCTGGGCCGGATCGGACCCGGGCCGGTCCAAGGCCCACCTATTCAGAACCGGCGGCCCGCCCGGGCCTAGACCTGGCCCGAATCCAGCCCTAGGCAGAAGTCACAAATCTTTTCGCCTATATTGTCTACGGCTCTCACTCACATTGTGATCAAAAATCAAAACTGTATGTAGGAAATACTTATGAGTTATGATAAGTTAAGATCAATATTGATGTTCAAACTTGTCGGCTGGCTCAATGAATTCTAACTAGTTAGTCTCAACTGACCATAGGTATCACACATACACGAACGAGTTACCGAGTTAGTCGCAAATGTAAGTGGTCTTCAACAATGTGTTGTGATAGTAAATCTAGTATAATATAAATGTTTAATAATTCGACATAACCTATTTAATGATACAAGTTTTTTTTATGCTCGCTTGTCAAATGAAATATGGACTAAGGCAAGACTATCTAGACGTTACTTCTATTTTTTTTTTGACAACTGTTTATTGACATCTAAGTAAGACTAATTCCACGGTGACAACGTCTCACTTAGTTTAATTGACAAAGGGTCCAAACTTATATAGTTATTTTTTATCAGTGAAAAAATAATTTTAATTATTCGAAGGTCGTCTGAACCAGTTAATTCTTAAATCAACATTTTCTTTTAAAAGGTGTCAGATATCCTGGGAAACACATTTTTGAGTCTGTCTCGTGATCGATCCTTCCCTCTTGCACATAAAAAAGCTTCTCTTATTCTCAAAGCTCTCATTTCAAAAGGGAATAAGATTTCAATTACCACCCCTAGCCATCCGCCCACCCAACCCCAAACTTTTGTCCCGTGTTGTTAATTTGCAACTGCATCCGCATTGACTTTGACCCAACCCATATTGGGTTTAGGATGTTTTTAGTTGGATTGAAATTTGCTGCTCTAGTCCGAACTGGTCTGGTCCAGTCTAGCAAATGTCCGGTTTTCGTGTATTTTATAACTATGAAAGTCTGGTCTAGTCTGGTCTGATCTGTCCAAGTAAAACATCATCCTTACTCCACTCCTTTCTTACCTTTCTTACATCTTCCGTACTTATAGACTTCGCCCTACCAGCAAACCATAAACTCTTATATCAAGTCTAAAGGAGCAAGCTACATAATATTTTTTGTAAAATTTAACATAGTATTACTTGATATACCACGGTCCACGGATTACGTTGATAACAATGCGTTACATGTCAATATGTCATATTGTGATGTATTTATGAGCGACGTAATACTACGTCTTAAACATGTTATTCTAAGACCAACTATAAAACTATTAATAAAAGGGACTCAGCTCAAACAGTTGGAAGGAAAAGTTTGCAACGCATTACACGAATACGTATAATATAATATCCAGATTCAAATGATATGATATGAATATTGTACAAAAAATTCCAACAACTTTCTTATCCTAATATAACTATATAAGTAGTTGAAATTGAACAGCAATATTTTTTTGCCAGATTTTGTCAGTTCATTCAGTGAGCTCTACAGAGCATCTTAAACCAAATAATAAGTTTATTTATTGGATTTTATGATGTGCACCAACCGAAATATAATACGGAGCACTCCGTAGTCGTTAATTATTGACATTTTTCAGATTAAGGATGTTTTTACTTGGACTGTAATTTGTCCCAGACCAGACCAGACCAGACCAGACCAGTCCAGACCAGACCAGACCAGACCAGTTCAGACCAGACCAGACCAGACTTGGATAGTTATAAAAATACAAAGAAACCAGACCTTACCAGACCAGACCAGACCAGTTCAGACCAGACCAGACCAGATTAGACCAGACCAGACCAGACCAGCAAATTACAGTCCAAGTAAAAACATCCTAAAGAGTCAAATAGGTTCAAGTTTCAGGCATGTTTGTTCAATTCAGCCTTCAAGTGAAAAAAAAAGTTTCAATTCGCACTTTATACTTTATAAAATTTCAAATTTTATTTTACAGATAATATCTGGTTAATCGTGACGTCACTTGTTGAGTGTCAATTGTGGGGTTTAATGCACCAAACCCCCCTGTGATTTGGAAATTCGGCGCATTAGCCCCCTGTGATTTAAAAAATGCGTCAAAACCCCTTGTGTTTTAATTAATCATGCACAGAATCCCCTTTACGAATAAATTTAACGATTTGAAAATCATTTTTCCTAATATTTTGATTGAATATGCAAATAAATATGTCAAAATATCTGAATCATACAAAAATGTTAATCATTTTTCTTTTATTTGACAATTGAATTTGTTCACATAAGGGATTTGGCACATGATTAATTAAAACACAAGGGGGTTTGACGTATATTTTAAATCACAGGGGGCTGATTCGCCGAATTTCCGAATTTTAATTGTGCATGTGATGTGGAAGTAAACACCTCCTTAGAGTAAACACCTCCTTAGAGTTCAAATAGATCTATGAACTCATTTCGGTG